GACCGACTTATCGCGATTCATTTAATTATACTTGGGCTAAGTGATTGACCGACTTAGCGCTTATCGCGACTTTATATAGATTGACCGACTTATCGAATTTTTTTAAATAGTAAAAAAACGGGGCGAAAAATTTTGGCCGAGTTAGGCCAAAACCGACTTATCGAGTTTACATATGTATATGGAAAAAATAAGTAGTTTAATAATACAAAATTACTAATTCAATATTATAACAACATTTGAAAACCTCCATAATAATTATTCTTCATGCCTCATTGCAATATGCATACAATGATATAATAATTCTTTATTCATTCCCGGGACACACATTTTTACATAATTTGGACTTTTGATATTTCTCTTTTATCATTACCATTATTTCTGGTATTTTTATTTGTACCAAGCGTTTTTACTTACGTCAAGGGATTTTACATTAGTCAAATCATTAAACAGTCCTGGTGGAAAAATTACCTTTAGTCAATACTTTAGTTACATCAATGACTAAAGTCGAAAGTTTCGTCATACATCAGTAAAAAGATGTGCGCTAAAATCTATTTTATTTTTTTTTGAAAATGTGTTACATTAAAGCTAGGAAGACCTATTTCTATCAATTAACAGATTTAAATGTTTGACACTAGTGTTGGTCGCCAAAACTATTTTGAAGAGGCGAAAGTCAAAAATAAAATCAAAAGTTATATGTCAAAACTAAATCAAAAAGTCAATAGTCAAAAATCAAAACTAGTTTCGACTTATGACGAAACCTTTTGACTTTTGCACGGTTGCGAAACTCTCTAGTTTTGGAAATCAACATTAATTGACACTGGTTAAAAAAAAAACAAATTTAACAATAGTTAAGATGTGCACATTTATTGTATGTTTAACTTGAGTCAAATTTTTTTTACCAATGGAGTAGTTACAACGTCGTCAAAGTTGATAAAGTAGTAGTAGACTTAGTCAAGGAAGTAGTCCTTCACTGTATATATAAACAACGTGCTTTAACAACAACTTTTCTTGAACAAAAGAAAATAATAACAAGTTTCAACTTGAGAAATAGTCATCAATTAAGTTTGCTCTTTCAATGGCGATTGCTATTATTATTATTATTATCCTGTGTCTTCTACATCACCTTCAATCTTTATTTCGAATTTACAACAACAACAAATATAATGATAATAATAATAATGGCTGTCATATTAACCATTATTGAGCCTGTTAAACCTGTCAGTGACACTAATACTTTTAAGTAGGATAGATTAGATGATGGAAATATATAAATTTCCAATACTTGAGATATACAGTTGAACACTATATTATGTTGCTTGTAGGAAAGCATTTATTTCATAAAATCACATTTTTACATTCTCAATTTTATTTAAAAACCAATGAATCAATAAACAATGATTGCTAAATTACATATATAACATATATTACAAAAAATATTTGAATCGAGCTAAATAATAGGCTTAAAATTTATCTTATAAACCCCCCAAAAAAATACTAAAAGATGAAATTATAATTATACTTCTGGTTTGTTATCTGAATCTTGTTGATTAGATAAATCTTGATCTTGGCCAATCTTGATATTAGAAGAACGTCTTTTTCTATAAACACGACGAATTTCAAAAGAAATCGCAGTCACTAGTAAAGCTAATACTACGGCACCACCAATAATTCCACCAATTAGTGCTCCAACGGGGTTAGAAGAAGTTGAAGGAGATGATTCCATTGAAAGAAGGGGTTCTGTTGTAGCAAAAACTTCTAACGAAGATGAAGAATTAACTGTTGTATTCGGAGGTAGAAATAAAGAAGCCCAGGTGTAATTGTTTTTTTGACTTATATCAAGCAGATGGATACCACTTAAAGGTTCATAATCCTCATATTCCCCTAAATTTAAAATATTATCAATTTAAATATTATTATTTTAAAATAGCGATAAAAAAATTCCCAATTGTTATATATTAAGCTTACCGAATGCAACCACAATATAATTGCCAACTAATGTAGAAGTATGCCAAAATAATCCTGGTGAAATTCCACTGAAAATTGAAACTTCAGGTACTGACCAAGCAAAGGTTATGGTATCTAAAGCAACGATTCCAACGTTTGGCCATCCGTCAATTATCAAAATCTGATTATGTTGAGCTATATAAATAAAATAATTATTAATAAAATACTAATATCTGATAATCCAAAACTTTTACATAAAAAGCATTATTACATACGTATAAAATTTGCCGTATGACCAGCCCGAGGAGGTGGGGTTTCACCTGATGTAGTCTATAAACAGAAATTCAAAGAATTAGTTCAACAATTCTGATTTAACATTTAGTAAAGATTAATAACGTAAATGACAACTGACAATTATTCTCCACGAATCATTATTTATATTATAGGTCGGTATCTATTTAAAAAAAAAACAAGAATTATAAGTCGAAGAAATGTTTAAGATACAAATAATTTTAGAAAAAAAAAATAATGCGAACCTCTTCCATCGAAATGAGTGAGAGATCAGAAAAATGCCTCCCACTAATATATAGAACATCACCATTTGGTAACAGTGTTGCACTATATCTCACCCGTGGGGAAGGTGCATCTAATGATGAAAATGTTAACCATGTTAAATCCGTAGTGTTTAACTTATATAGGTGATTTAGTGAATTTCCTCCAAAGGTATAAATTGCGTCTTTTGATGCGACACATTGAATTCCTAATAATTCAGTTGGCACCTTTCCTGAAATAATTGGTTTACTCCATGTTTGTGTAAAAATGTCAAATTTCTCAACACAACTACTTTTTGAAGTGATTCCACCAATATAAAAAATAGAATCATTTTTGGCTTCATTAACGCAAGATGCACCAATAGTCCGAGATGAACCATAATTAACTGATGAAAGACTGGTCCAAGGAATATAGTTCAAATTAAAAGCCGTAGAAACATTAAGGTAAAAAAAATTCTCAATATCATAATTCATGCTTTTACCACCTTGAAAATAAATCTTATTATCAACAAGAGCTGCAGTGTGTCCATATCTTGCAACTGGGGTAAAAGCATAAATGCCGGTATCGAGTTGAAAAACACAAACGCAAAGAAAAAATAATACAAAAGCGGTATTGAATTTCATTTTATAAAGAAGAAAAATTGAATAAAGTTACTCTGAAACTTTGGAAACTCTCTGGTATAAATAGATATTAAGTTTACCGGATCTGGAGTATCATTTTAGCTTTGGATAATTGAACAATCAATAATGTAGGACACTACCACACATAAAAACCAGAAGCGTTACCGGTCAATCTAATCTGCGTTATCTATTACCAAATTCAAACGAATAACTCGAATCTTTTTCTTCATTGATTAAAGCCATGGATAATAAATATCAATGAAAGACCAAAGTGGGGATCTATTTGGAGCGGAAGATAAAAAAGAATTTAACTCCGAAAATTCATACATGACCTTGAGAAAAATAGAAATAACAAGAAAAGTGAGTAGGTCCAATCTGATGTGATCAAAAATTTTGACCCCAAAATAAAACAAAGCCTTCGCGATAAATTTTCGGGATTAGTATTAGGTTCTCCCGCGCCCATATATCCCTGTAAAACATGGATTTCCATGGATTAAATCAACAATGGAAATTTACAAATCTTATTTTTATTTGGTTTATTTGGTTACACCACACACATGTTTAATCAATACATGTTGTGTGGATCTTATTTTACATAAAAAGATTTTTATTTTCGTAATCAACTACCTTATACATTAAATTTCCATCGTTGATATAAATAAAGAAAAATAAATAATGAGCGAACAAAATGAAATAATTTATTTGTTGTTGTTTATTTAGATTGTTTATTTGCACATATATACATAGAGCCTCAAGTTGATTCATATGAAATCAGTCATTAATCAATCAGAACAATATACCCCTGCTAGACACTTGAGTTAATAGATGTCTCCAAGATAACACATAACTGTATGTCTCTATAATTTTTATAATATAGAAATAAAATAAAATGAACGTCTTTGATCAAAGCAAAAAATCGATTTGACAATTCTCGTTGGTTGATGTGCTAATAATAGTATTGCAAATAGTACGATTAGTATCAACATAAAACACTAATCATTGTCATCAACAATTAGGTCTAAAAAATGCCACAATTCAAATGATCCTTGATATAATACAAATTTGAAATATTAGATGTGATGTGATAATAAAATCGAACACGGACTTTTCTTTTACACAAATTTACCTTATTTAAAAATCATTCTTCATCTTTCATCTTACAAATCAAATTATATCAAGATTTGGAAAAATATGTATACTCTACCAAATTGGCACCGGGTAAATAAATGATTCTTATGTAGCAGCGATTTTTTACAATTTCTGGTTATTCATATCATTGTTATACAGGTGATTTTGTCCATTCAATTATCTAAAGTAGAGTAGTTGATAATAATATAAACAAATGACGACTTATCGAGTTTACCTATCTGCGCATTGGTAAAAGCTTGTATTCGTGATTCCAAAATCACGAAATTGTGAGTAATTATTTCGAATATTCCATTGTTGCAGGAATTTAGTAACATAAAATAAATGGGCTGACAAAAAAGTTGAACCTTTCTTTCGATATTTGAAGTTGATTTAGATTTTGATTATTATGTAATGGGATACTTCAATTCAATAAATTCATCTATATATTGATTTCTTATCTCCTGATTCCCGTACAAAAAATGTCAGGGAATAATTAGTTATTTTCCTGTTACTATTTGTAGAAATTATCGAGATAATTCGCAATATGATCTCATTTAAGGATCTGCGGTTAATTGATTGCCATAAATTCATTCTTTAATATGTGTAATCCAGAGTTGTAGTAACAAAAAATTCCTGTTTGTTATATGATTTGACCCAGACCAAAATTATGTTTAATATATAACTAGACCATAAGGTTTGCAATAACATTAGTAAAAAGAACATAATTTGACCCATAATATATATTAGCATTGAAAATTGATAATAATAATTTGACCGTATTAATGATTGTTGCATTTGTAAAATTTTTAATAATTTTGACCCTATTATATAATTACTGACATTTATATACATATGAATTTGACCCAGCTGAGGCAGTAACCTATCTATGAAGTTATGCGGGGTCCTGTACTGGGCCCACTGAGTTCGTTGGTGTAACATTTCAAACATATTTAGTATTTTATTAATAGCCAAATCGAATATTCCATGAATTTCATGAATCCAAATCACCATTCAAGTTTAAAACTTTTACAATCAACTGCTTTAACAACGCTATACATCTACTTTTTCTAAAAAGTAGTTTCTATTTATCCTAAATTGTCTTTCCTTTCCTCCAAAAATAGATCTACTATTGTTGACAAATTACGTGCATTTTCCAGAATAAAGATCAACAAGAAAATATTTTTCTAGATCGTGTGAATTTGCGCAAATAAATATTTTTATTATTAGAAATATAGAATCCTAGACCAGTCCTTAGTTTTTTATCAATGTATATCAATATATCAAGATATATTCAATACGAAGAATTTGTCAAAAGCAAACAAATAAAAATAAACCAATGAATAATGTGCGATTATTATCGAGTTAAAGTAATAAATTTTTGCATCACATTAAGATATTATTATCTGTTATATTAAATAGTCATTATAATTACAAATAAAACTGTATCAAATTAATATTAATAAATAATTACTAATGTATATGATTAAAAACAATAATTAATTGGATTATTTATCCATTTAGATTCTTTTGCTTAATTCAGCAGCTGTTCTAAAAAAATCAGTAAAGTCAGTGACGACGTCATTAGTGGCAACATTCAAATTAGCAAAACTGAAACCACTATCATCAGTGCCAAATATAATGAATGGATCGGTGTCAAATGACACTACTACGTTAACAACAACAATGTCATTAACAGTAGAATTAACAATCCCCACACAAGTAAGTACATCATCTGACCATTTTCCACACTATAACGCGCTGCATAGCACATACAATTTACACCTTCACATTGTGAATCTGTAACAAACGTCTTATATCTGGATTATATATACCAGAGGTGAATCCGGGATATACAGTTGTTGCATCCTAAGGTAAGTTTTACCAAAACTTCTGAAGTTTGGTGGGCCAATCTTATCGAATATGCTATAAAAATGTTTTATTGTTATATAATAAGTAAATTATTTAACTATTTTATATTTTTGAGAAATAATTGAATATTACCCAAAAGAATTGTTGGAGCGGGAACTAACATTGTTTTTAGGAACGATAACCTGAGATAGATTTTCGACTCTATAAATTATGATTAATACAAAAAATTTGATTCGTGCCCGCCAATCAACGATAGAAACTAATAAAAACCGGCGTATACAAATTTAAAAAAATGTATCAAGTGACAAAAGTTGCATACTATGAAATTTTCTACTTACGTTATGCAAAGTCACATGAAATCATGCAACCCTTTTCTTGTTTACTCTTGGGCAGCTGTGGATTCCACGCAAAATACATGTATGAATTTTATGAAAAAATTTAATAGAATTGCAACATTCCAAAAAAAAAAATGTAGCTGATTTTAATGATAATTCTCAACTATTTTTATGAATTATATTATTTAAATTCAAAAAAAACTTATTACGAATTATTCATTGTTATTAATTCAGTCTTGCATGCTGCAGAATAACAAGTTATCCAACTTTTACATAGCGTTCATTACCTGTATGAAAACAACTTTGCAAAATGGAAATTATTTTTTAGAAAAATTTGTTCCTTTTTCAAATTGTCTATTGAATTATTTATTAACAAATTATTTCTTTGAAATAAGTTTTTTTTATTGGGCTAATAAGGAAAAATAAATACAATAGCTAATATATCCGATGGCTGACAGAAGGTCAATATGCTAGATCTTTACTTAATATTAACATGGGTAAAAAATTTTCTCCAAAAAATTATCAAAAGCAAAAGCTCTAAACCTCATCCACAAACTTCTATTCATGTAACTTTTTACAATATACAGTATATACTTTTAATATTAATATTAGGAAAAAGTGTTTTCCGATGCAAATTGGCAATATAACGTAAATCAAAAGTCTATAATGATCATTATTAAAAAATAATTTATTGCTTTTATATTTCTAAAAATCTGAAAACGGGGTTTTTTTAATTTAATACCAATATTAAAATAATTTTAATTTGAATCCCGGATCTGCATAACAAATTCCTACTGATATTAATAAGAATCAGAATATTAAAAAAGATATGTTTTTATTAATATTGTAATTTAAAATCTTTTTTCAGTTGGTAAAGAAAGAATCCAGAGTATTTTGTTTTAGAAAAATAAAAACAATTGTCGAGATTATCATTGAAATATTCCTAGAAACTTGTATTTAATCTTTATCAAAATCAATGATTATTTATGTAATTATTATCATCTCCTCTCGCCATTGATTGATTTGGAGTTTGGCATTAAAACAAAGAACACGTATTAAAAAAGATTCAATGTTTTCTTTCTATTTATTAAAATCAATCATCCGTTTAAAGTAATCGAAATTGGATTTTTGGCCTCGTCACAAGATAGGCGTACTTGATATTCTTATTCTGCAGTTTTTCTTCTGACTCCGCCAGACAAAAAAGCATTTCAACTACTTATAAAACCTTTTCAAGCAAATATCACGTTAACATATATGAATTAATCGACAAAGAGGCTTAAATTCTACTCCAATTTTGGAAAGAACCTGCCTGACTGAATTTACGGAACGATTCATTCCACCAGAATTTTATGTCATGTGGTACGAATAATTTAAATATATAAAGGGAGGAATTCCATCAAAAATTTTTAACGATAAAAAGTTTTTACTACTAACCTTAAAAAAAAATAATATTAATAATAATAAATTATAAACTTAACTAAACATGTCAAAATTTATTATGAACAACTATTTGATTTTTCTCGGGTTCTTCTTCATTGCATTGGTTAATATCGTCGTCTTTATGTTTATAAATTTATGCGTTTATTATATTGATTTATTTTTATATTGATTATGATTTAATAGAGTATGAATGCTCATGCAGTTGTTCCGAATGTGCCCTATAAAACTATAGCTCTTTCAGCCAATAATGGTGCTTGGATCCTTTGCGCAACTGAAGCAACTACTAATGCTGGTAATTTATTAATTAAATTAATCAAACAAGAATCAAATATTTTTTATTATTATATAACCAACAATAAAATACTTTTTTTTTATAGCCTATAGTATAAGACTTGCGCCACCATCCTCTGAGCTTTCTTATCCTCCGTTCGGCACGTCTATTAAAGGGAAAGGTCTATCCAACAATAGTGGATACGGATTTATTGTTGGTATATACGACAAAACTGCCGATAAAATTTACCCAGATACACAATGTGGAAATCCAAATTATGCTTGTTATGCTGATGACACTTTGGCCACAGGACCTAGCACCAACATTTGTGTCGTCATTGCAAACCCTACGTACAACAACGTGATTCTTAATGTCGTTGTTAGTTTCGCGAAGGAAAGCCCCTTCATTACCAACGATGTCAATTCAAATGCAGATTTCTTCAATTTTGGTGTTACGGATATTCCCGCTAATGAAACAATAACTATCAACTACAAGGACTATGTTACAACTGCTCAATTGAGCAAAAGATATTATAAAAATTAAATTTTTTATAAATGTCATGCTTTATTTCTGAATTTCTCTTTTGATTTTAAACTTAATTCAATATTTGTAATACTTTATTATGTGAATATATTGTATAATTATATAATTATTAATAAACTTTATTTGATTGTTGAGCGTACCATTTTGTTTTGCTTTTGAATAATTACTTAAATTATAATATATAGACAGTATACATTTCACTCTCCGCATAACGATTCTTCCATCAAGATGTTTGCTATAGAAAGAGAGTCATATGGGCTAATTTTGAACATTGAAAAAAAAACCTGTCATAAGCTCTTAAAAACTTATCTTTATATAACATCAATTGTGAAAAATTGTGTTTACTCACAAAGATGAATACGTTGACAATTGATTTTTTTTATGACAAGTAGTAACGATCATTAATTATTTCAAATAACTGATTTTTAGCCAAGTGAGAACAAATTTTAAATTAAAAAATTAAAAAAAAATGAAGGTTTAAACAAATTCACATCAAAATATAATAATAATATGGTGAAATTTTGTTTTTTTTTCGAGTTTTCACTCATTGACTTGGTTAAAATTTGCTCATAAGTAAATGTCACGTGGTAATTAATTAGTATATTGATGCTAATATTGGTCAAACTACGTTATATTAATATGTAGAGATTTTTTCATAATAAAAAAATTCTTTTCAATATGTTGTGCGTGAATTTTGAAATCTGAAATTTGCGCGGTGAAATTCAAATTAGCCAATCAGAATTTTGCAATTTTTTAGCTACAGCCATTCAAATAAAATCTTTTAACAGGCTTGTATTTTTTCATTTTTATTTAATTATTTTATTTCATTTTTTAATGTTATTTTGTTAGCCCATTGTTTTAAAATATAGATTATAAATTGGTCTGGTACGTTTCCCCGGCACTGTTTCCCCGACAGGACGTTTCCCCGACAGGACGTTTCCCAGACAAGACATTTCCCCGACGGGACATTTCCCCGACAGGACATTTCTCCGACAAGATTTGTTAACTATATTTAATATTAATTGGCTAATAAATGGCCTAACCAACTTAAACAGCTTAGTCGCCTAATGAATGGGTTAATAGACTTAAATGGTTTGATAAACTTAGCCGGCTATGGCATGACAGGGAAACAAATAAATATTGTAATACAAAATGTATTTGTCGGAGAAACGTCTTGTCGGGGAAACATCCTGTCGGGGAAACGTCTAGGTACCCTTTCATACCAATTTTCAACAGAGGTTTGTTTATTTGTAATTATGGAGAAGATAGAATTTAAAAATCCCACATGTTAATTCTTATCCCTTAAACGGTTTTTCGGCTATTGATAGCCGAAATTTTTTTTCTGTTATAAAAAACTTTTTCTGGAGGTATTACTTCCTAATACGAAAATGATCCTTGAAATTCAACTGATTGATCTGTGAATAAAAATTCGGTGGTTGTCCTTTGGTTTTCGTAAAATCTTAAAAGTTGGTCGATTGACTATTTTTACTTCGCAGATCGTTAAATTGGCCAATAAGAATGCAAGATCGTAATCAAACAATTATTTTGTGTTACTACTAAAGAATACTTTGACCGTTTATGAATTCCAACAGTACAAACAATATACATGCAGCCTAAATGGGTTTGGTGATTTCAATGATCAAAATTGGAATAATTTTGATGGTAAAAAGTAGAAATTAATTACAGCACTCATTACTAAAAACATAAGTGTAACACCCCTTTACAATATGTGTAACCCCCTTTATGAAAATGTAATAAAGATCAAATTTCTTCATTGTAATATATATCTTATATTATTAATAAATCGTGCTTAATGTAATGGATTATATATATCTACAATACAGTATCAGAAAAAATTAGTTCATGAAAAGGATTTAAAAAAGTATCCAACCACTCTGTGATATAAAGTTGAAATAATGCAAATTTAAGGCATTATGTTTTGTTGTCTATACTTGATCAATTTTTCTCAAATTTAATCATATATAATTCAAGATATTTTAAGTAAACTTACTCAATTACATAATCCATGATTAAATGAAGCTTTACTAAACTCAAAATTTTCATAAAAATAACAGAATTTTTTGTCTAATTTAAAATTTTCATCCTAAATTCATTAATAATGCAAATCAACAAGACTTTAAGTTTATATGCAAAAAACATGTTTACTTAATGCATCAGTCCCAGTTTGGTTAATAAAATTTTGAATTGCATAAGGTGTATATAACATTTCCAATTATTAAAATGATCATCATGTGGTTGTACATTTATGGTAGGTAAGTGTATATTATTGATCACAATGACACAAATAAGTTATTGAGTCATGTGATTTTACAATACTTAGCATCAAGAATATCATTGCTATTTTAGGATTTGATAATTTGTTGTGCTCCATATTTGTAATCCCAATACTTGATTTATAGTAATGTTTGATTTATACAGCTGTGGCTAAGTGCTCCATTCTCAATTGTAATTGCTAGTCTGGTTTGTAGTGGTATTAATAGCTCTTGGTCTATTAATCTGTGCGGGTGGCGAATTTTACTTCCCCTTCTGGTACTTGTCTGGTGTGAGGTATTAATAGCTCTTTGTCTATTAATCAGTGTGGGGGCGATTTTTACTTCTCCTTCCAGTAGCGTTTTCTCGGCAGTTCTTTGTTATCTACCTGAGCTGGCACGTCTCCAAGATATTTATAATAATCCACCTTGGTTCTTTAGGCTTTCTTATTAATCAGCCACGATTCACTGGGCTTATTTTGTTGTATTTTAGGTTCAGTGTCTGGACTGACCGCACCCAGCTAGGGTTCTTGTTTGTTCTTAGGATTTGGCCTAAGCTAAATAAAATAAGTAAAAGGAAATAGATATATACAACTATACTTATCAAATGCGTCCCCTGGTAAGATAGTAAAATAATAATAATATGGTGTCGAATATAAAATGCGAGAATATGGTCAATGCACGGGATTAGTATGAATTCATTGTTAGAGATAGATTTATTATCATTACGAAAATATAATATTCGAAGACAACAAGGACAAGGTCAGTGTTATTTATTATTATGACGATGATTAAAGATTATTAAAGATTATTATATATAGATGATACATGAAGTTGAGAAAATTACAACGTCTTTATACATGTTAAAGTTTCTATCATCTAGTTCTTTCGATTTCTTTGAAATCCTAATTTATTCTAATTAAATGTATTACTTGAACCTTTTGTGTAGAATTATTTTCAAGTTATTTCTAAAGTGATCCAATCATTTAAATTCCTTCGTTTAAATTAAATCTAAGAATTAAAGATTTGTTGCATTTAGAATGTTAGAATATTTATTTCTCCGTTGTTTGGGATATTTTCCGTGAGTCAATTATTTTATTGGTGATTGAATAAAAATATGAAATAGGACTGGTTTGAATACTTGATCAGTTATTTGCGTAAATCATTTCCGATTTATTTATTGATTTCCCGTGATACGTAAATTTATTATTTACAATATGGTAAAATCCAGATTGAGTTTGATGAGGTGACAAACTTTCCGTTTATTAAAGTAATTATTTTAGTTTAATCATCCTTTTTTCATTATGAATGAGCTAACGAGATCAAAATAACATTAATCAATTAGAATTTAATAATAATATTTAAAAATTATAAAACCTTGAAACGTTTGGAAGTCACCTAACTTATGTATACATCACTTGTGAATTAATGAACTATGAATTCATTTTTTTTAGATTCTTGATGAAATCTATAGCAATTATGCGATAGCACTTGCCAATAGACCAAGTTAATCGGGTAACCCAGATTTTGATAAGATCAAATTATTATCGAATTAAATCTGAGATTAAGTTAATTCGTAACGCGATATAATATATATATATATTAATATATATATTTTAATTACACAAAACATGCATATTAACAACCAATAAAATTTGTGTATAAATATTCGTGCTTCAATTTTTTTAATCACGAACGAAAAAAAAAAAATCATTTTTTGATTGATACAAAAAAATATCTTGCTCAAATAAATTTTTATTAATTGCTCAAAATGCATTGCCAGAAAAAAAATTTAGCACGGGAAAGTCTTAATATTGATAAATGTTTGTCATGTACTTTTTTTTAAAAAAAAAAACTTTAATAAAATCTTTAAATGTGTTATTTAACTGAATTGGGCATGGCCAAATGATTGATCTTTATAAAGACAAAGTTGTATACAATGATATTCAAAACATCGGGCCTTCCAAAACCTGCAGTTATTTGAACCGTGCAAATTTTCAAAAGAGAGGTTGTGTTAAATTTGGAAGCTGAGAGGCCAAAAATTTTGATCATTGTAAAAGTAACCAGCTGATAAAATTAAAGTCCAATTTAATGAATGCTACAACTGATTTTCAGATTTCCATTAAGATTATTAGAAGAAGCTTGTATTATCTTGATAATTCTTCGTGCAGGGGAGTGTATTAATGAAATTTAGTGACAAAATCATTTAAATTATTCTTGGATAAAAAGGATTGGAGCATTCAAAAACGAAAACATCATTTGGAGTGATGAGATAGATTTACAATACTTCAAAATGATGCACCAGATCACGCCCACTGTAAGCATGGCAAAGGTGGCATGATGTTTGAGGTAAAGTCTATGGCAAGTTGATTGAAATGGCTATATTCAAATGCTCCAGTCAAATGTACTGCCATAAATTTAAAGAACGAGACTATTTGTCTCAAGATGACAATACCCTCTTCACTGTGCTAAAGATGCAAAATTGAAATATTAAAAAATGGATGATAGTTGAGTAAGTTAAGTTAGAGACACAATCAAGAACTCCCTAATCCTTCAAAAAACTTGAGCTTGCTTTAACAGATGGATGGATGAAAATCCCAATGATTTCATTAATTGTACTGGAAAAAAATAAAGTTTAACAATAATTAAACTTTGTTAAAATGTACAATTTTATCAAAGTCTGTGTGTGTCTCATCAGCAAATTTTTTATAATGATTATATAATCTAATAATTGCACATGACACAAAGGTGCACACCAAATGCATGGAGCAATCCTTGAAATGTGAGATTTTGCATATTTATTTACATAATGGTTGGTTGGTTGTTATTATGTACATTTTGGTGCGATTAACAAGAACATTGATCTGATCCTTTTCTTCAAGTAGTGTATAATGTAGCTTGACATGCGCATAGAAAAGGTTTACTAACACCAGTTTTTTCTCTTAATTAGCAAGCAATCTTTTTTACTTGAATTGTCCCACATTGCATTTTTCAATTTTCAAGCCTTCTTCTACTCTAATATAAAATATTTTATATTAATCAGGACTGAGTGTGTAAACCTAGTGAGACACCTTACCAAACTATCATCCATATTAATATTAATATGTTGTCAGTTTTAGTCAAGGCTAAATTAGGGTTTATCCTTTATGCCAGCAGCCCTGATATTATTAATCTTGGGAGATGATATGCAATGGCGATCATCATCATTGTCACCCCAAGATTTATGAACTGAACATAAATTTCTTATCATAGATTAATTTAGTAGAGCAAATTCCCTGTACTACATAAACTAAAAACAATCAGCTTTCTTTCACAAAAAAACACTTTTATTATTCCCTCTTGTTTCTTTTGTGTTGCCCCCAAATAAAAATTTTTCCTAAATAAATAAATATATAAACAAAATGGTTGCTATGGCAATAAAACAAATAGTAGCAAAAAATATGGTTTCTGAGACCTTTCGTGAAATCTTTACTGGTAATTATATGATAAATATCATACATCCAATTAATCAATCATAATATTTTTGAATTGATAAATCATTGACCACACTTAAAGGGCCGACCTCTTTATACCATTGGCTTAACAAAAAAAGATCTGTAAGTTTTTATAAAATTAATAACATTTATATACAGACCATACACATTTAAATGAGCCTAACTAAATAAGTGGCTCAAACGAAAATTTATTATAAATATCTGTTTGTAATTTATTTATTTTTTTAATAATGATAAAATAATTAACATTTTCTTCCATGATTAAATTAAATCAAAGAGACGTATCCTTCAAAGGAATTTATCATATGTAAGAAAGCCAAAAAGCAAGTCAACTAAAGAAAAAGAAACCAAGAAAAAATTCAGCTGGGATGATTTGTTTCAACGTCGCATAAAAGAGGAAGCCTTAAAGGAGGAATCCTCAAAAGCAGAATCCTTATTAGCTACCAGGTTTTTTATTATTTATCCATTTTGTTTATTAATTTAATGATAATTAATTAATTAAAAAATTTTTTTTAAAAAAGTCAAACACAACAGTCAGACCCTATTATTGTAAAAAGTAAGGAGGCCCCCAATAAGTCAACATCAACAATTTACATCTTTCATGCTAGTGGTACTGAATTATCTCAAAAAGTCATGGGATTTAGATGTGCATGGTGTGTTACTTTAGCATTTAGAGACATTGATTGTTTAATGATTCATTTAGAAAATTTTCATCAACATTTTAAGTATATAATAAAAGTAAGTGAATAAAAAAATTTTGTAAAATTAAATAATTTTTAAATAAACAATTCATTCTTTTTTTTTCTAGCAAAGAAGACAAACAACCAGCTGTGAAATTGCTGTACATATAAATGATGAACATTCTAATCATGAATTTTTTGAGTTTAAAGCCGATGGAGCTCACTTTCCAAAATCATTTGCTATTCCAGAAAAGAGTATTTTGCCACCACTGTTGTCTTCAAAAAAATTTACATCAGGAACCTTTGTAAACTCTCATTCATTTATTCCATTCACTGCAAATTCTAATATAATTGCTGAAAATAATATTTGTGAACATTGGATTCAACAACAAAATGATGAGGTTTGAAAAAAAATCAATCATTATATTTGAAAAAATCAATTAAAATTTGTTCCCATAAAAATAAAAATGAAAATAATCATATTATATTTTTTAGGAAATAGATGGAACAAAAGGTACTGTGGATGGTGCTAAACTTTTAATGAAATTGTGGAACAGATGCATAGAACAAGAAAGGTAAAATATTGTATATTAACATATCTTGCTTTGACTGAAATCTTTTTATCTATTAAAAAAAAAGAATTTTAAATTTCAAATATGTAGATCTCTTTCTGATTCTAGTTTCCCAGACTTTTGTACAAAATTTGCATCTAAACATGCAGAACAAATTGTAAAACTTGAACTAAGACAAATTTTTGTAAGACAACTGCTTAATTTCTGTGATGATGAAATTATTGAAAAAGATTGCTTAGTTAATTGTTTAAAGATTATTGATGATTATCTTGTAGAAAATTAGTCAAGGCTTTTATGCTAACATCATTATTTAGATTTTGATAAGAATAAAAAATAGAATAGGTTAAATTCATAAATGCATTATGAAATTGTTTTTTTGAAATGGGCGATAATAATTTTATTTTATTCTTGAACACACATGATTTTTAGGCCAACCAAAATCAATTTTTATGTGATATCTTGATGACAATTTTTAACCAATCAAATGTAATCAACAAGAATGTCCACTTGCTAAAAAAATTCTAAAGCTATTTATATGTTTTAAAGATCCACTCATCTAGTTCTCTGATAAGGAATTCCTTTGTACTATTTTTGTTAATGATCAAGAAAATTTAATTAGAGGGATGATTTATATAGCAAATAACCTTTTGGCTCATTTTGGATTCCCACACAGTGAGTCTCAGTTTAGTGGACCCTGGATTTAGCGGATTTAGGGTTTAGTGGATAAATTTTCAAAACCAAATTTTTCTATTACTATAATTATTTTATCTCTCTTTAACAGATTTAATGGATTTTTTTAAAATCCATATGTCATTATTATCCCTTAAACATTCAGAGTACAGTATAATAATGGTTATTTAACTAGTACAAATTAGAAACTATCTGTAAAAATATCCAATCAAATTCTTTTTTTTTGCATATAATCTCTAAATTTGTACTAGTTAAATATTCGTCATACCAAGACTCACTGTGCATTCTTTAATGGTAACATAAAATCACAATCTCGCATTCTTATTGGACAACTTAATGATCAGCAAAGTAAAAAATAGTCAATTGACCAATTTTAAAGAAAGTTATAAAAAAACCACAAGGACAACACCTAATTTTTTTACAGACCAATCAGCTATATATCTCAGATTTGTAGTAAAAGTTATTGTGTTTAATTACATTAATTATATGGTTATTTATAACATTACATTTAAAGATGGCTCTGCAACTAGGAAGTTGTAACTCAGGAGATTGCAACCTGAAAAATATTGACATCTAAATGCTGCAACTGCTGTAAGTCTGCAATTGCTGCAACTGCCTGCAACTGCCTGCAACTGTCTGTAATTGCCTGCAACCTCTAGTTGGTCAGCTACTTCAATCACTATAAAACTAAAATTTATTTTTATCAAAAAAATATTTTAATTAAAGTTCAACCAATAAAAATGGTGATATATACTAATACTATTAAAAACAATTCTATTCTTTAATGGTAACACATAATAATTTTTTGATCACGGTCTTACATTCTTATTGGTCAATTTGACGATCTGCAAAAGTAAAATAGTCAACCAACCAACTTTTAAAGACTTTACAAAAACCACAAGGACAACAACCGAATTTTATTTAAAGATCAATCAGCTGCATCTCAAAGATCATTTTTGTATTAGGAAGTGATACCTCAGAAAAATTTTTTTATAATGGAAAAAAAATTTCAGCTACCAATAGCCAAAAACCATTTAAGGGATAATATTTTTCCTAACATGTATTATTAATATTAATATATATATATTAATATACATTAAAATTTAAAATGAATAATCAGTTTTATCAATTAATGTTTTTATTTAAAAAATAGTTAGTTAATGGTAAAAATAATGGCAATAGTAATAATAAAAGATAATAAGAATGTTTTTTTTATTTTATTTAAAAACAAATAAATCTCATTCTTGCAGTTATGTGACTCCATTTTTGATACTAAGTCATCATAATTATAGTTGCAGACAGTTTCAGGTAGTTGCAGAGGTTGCAGACAGTTTCAGGGTTTGCAGAGGTTGCAAAAAAGGTTGCAACTCGAGCTTTAGAACCTACAGTTGCAGAAAATGTGAAAACAGTTACAGACACCAACTTTAATTATATTTCATTTATTAGATTATTTTTATAAAACCATCTCTCACTTGATTACTGTGTCAAACGGATAAGGACAAAAGAAAGAATTCTTTTTTGGCATCAATGTTTCTTAAAGTGCTTGAGTTTATACTCAAGTGACCACTCAGGTTTACACTCAAGCTACTTGGAGTTAAAACTCATGCACTTAGATTTTGCACTTGGGTGATAATCAGGGCTGGTTGTGTAAGAGGGTCTAAAATCCTAATTTGGTAATAATTGTCATAACATGATTACTAAATAGTTAGTCAGTATAGCCAAATGCTCATTTAGGGTTAAGCAGCCAGCCCGATGATAATGAAATACCAATAAAAATCGTATTTTGATTTGCAAAAACAAATATAATTAAAATTCTTCAGATCACTACAGTAGAATGTTTAATGGATTTTCGTAAATGATAATTTATCAAAAATTATAACTCTAAAGACAAAAGGAGAATAATCCGAATTTTTTTTTTGTTTGAGGTTAGTCCCAAGCCATTCGAGATTTTTTTAATATTTAATTAATATTAACACGCTTTTTTAAGTGTAGATCGGCATAAGTCACGGGGATGTATTGCAAGGAATATAAAATTCCAAAAATTATAAATACCAACTTTGCTATTTTCTCAAACTCTCTTTACAAAAAGAAATAAATTTATTAAATAGAAGAAATTTATATATATACATACATACATATATATTTATTTATATATATATAAATAAACGCATACATAAACAAATCTATTCAATTACCATGACTCATCATTATTATGAACTTTATCGTAGAAGCAGGTTTGTTCAATGATAATAATTTACTAGTTAAACTTCGATAGTAAAATGTTAATTTTCTCTTTAAAAACTTGTCAAAAGTATTGGAATTGCTTTGACAGAGTCACTTGATGATTTTATTCAAACGGGTCAAATTACTCCACAATTAGCCATGAAAGTATTATTACAAGTACGTTATTTTAAAAAATATTTAATAATTGATTTTTATTAATACAATGAAAGTAAAATGAAGAAATAAAAATATATTTAGATCTAGTTAATTTATAATTTATAATTTAATAGTATTTCAGTAATAATAGTAATAGTAATTTAATAGTAATAATAATAATAGTATAATAATAATAATAATAATAATAATGATAATAATTAATGTTTTTGTTAATATTAGTATTAATATATATATATATATTATTAATTTTATTAAATTTTTTTTTTAACAAAAGTTTGATAAGAGTATAACAGAAGCTCTTGAAACTAAAGTCAAAACTAAAGCAACATTCAAGGTATATTTATATAAATTATTGACATAATTTTGATCATTTAAATAAGAAATTTTAAATTCACACGTAATATTTATTTACTTATTTATTTATTAATTTATTTATTTATAAATTTAGCAAGGACATCTTCATACTTATCGATTTTGTGATGAAGTATGGACTTTTATAATCAAAAACCCAAACTTTAAATTAGATCAAAACGAGGCAATACAGGTTGATAAAATTAAAATTGTAGCATGTAATTCAAAGAAACCTGGTGAAGCAGAAAATAAAAATTAAACAATTATATATATATATATATTTTTTTTTTCATATTGTAATCTTTCATAATATAGTCTCACAATATAGTATACTATACTATATATTGTAATTTATTAATGATTGATTTTATGATTAATGATATTGATAATAATAATTTCATTTTTTAAAATAATAATAGAATCTATAAAAATTATAACTCATTTTCAATTTAAATCTATATTTCTAAAAATAAACGAGGATTTTCTTGTAATCTACAATAATTATACAACTACAGTTGAATATTATATGAAGTATTCTATTATTTGAAACCTTTGTCGTATCCATTTTTAACATAAAAGTCATCCAATCTTTTAACAATAACTTCTAAAGCACCTAACCATTCTTTATACTTTACAATTACAACCTTTTGATCATCCCCTAATTTCTTAAAAAATTCTTCACGATAAGGGCAAGCCTTCATTGCAACCTTTTTAAATAGAATATTAAAAAATCAATCAATCAATCAGAAGCTAATAATCATCTAAAAAAATATATTTTCGTTTTATGAAAACCATTCAAAACGAGCTTACCGTGAACAAAGATTTAACAACAAAGTTATGATATTGTTTTAAAGTTTCGCCATAAGACATGGTAAATGAAACCGATAATTCTTCAGATTCGTTATTAATTGAACGACGTAAAGCAACTGAGGTAAGTTCTAATCCACTAAATATTTATTTGTTATTATTAATCATTTAAAAAAAATATAATTTAAAAAAAAAATCAACATCCTTAAATTCCATGATTTCTAAAAAATTTTTGCGTAACTTTGGATGCGTTACCGTCATTCAAAATTAAAATATTCATTTACCGTTTTAACCATAATAGTCCTTCTGTTGCAACACGTTTCTTTTCACCTGCTTCATTCTTTATTAAATTCTCTAAAGTGTTGTTCTTTGAAGGATCTGTGTCATATTTTGCTTGAATTTTCTGTTCATCATCATCATTATTAATTATTACTATTACTATTATTATTATTATTAAATATCATAGATTATAAGGTATTAGTGTATATAAAGTTACCTTAATGTTACCATTCATGTCATTTTGAACAATACTGAATGCGGTAGAACCCAATAAATCTATGAATGTGATTTCAAAATGTTAATAATTTACTCATTACTCAAAAACAAAGTCTTTAAAATCCTATTTATTCGTTTGTTTATTCAGTCATTATTTTTTATTAATATTCAAATTTCAAGACATACCAAATAATTGGACAAGACCTTCTGTGGCTTCAAGAAAAGCAATTGTGTCAATTCCTTCTTCATTTATTGGTACTTCGGTATAGGAACGTTTGATGGTTTCAAAAAAAGTTTTCATAATTGTTATTATGATGGATAAAATTAATAAATCAAAAATTAAATTTTTTAAAAAAAAAAGAAAAGAAAAGTTTTAGAATGATTTAAAAAAAAAAATAAATTTAAATATGAAAAACAAACAAACAATCATGTATTAATTTTAATGATGAAACAAGGCTATAATTAGATATTTGATTTTTTTATAAATTTCTCCTGAAAATCTTGTAAAAATGCCTAACAAAAATAAATTAATTATTTAATACAAATTCGGAATTTTCCTTGACTATTACTATACTAATACATAAATATTAATATTAATTATTTATATTCGTTAAACAACATGGTCAAAAATCATAACAATATATAACGTATTAGCAACCGTTTCATATCCTCTTTACCATGGCCACGACCACCACTATAATATTAAGAAAGTGACGGTTGGATGTTGTTTTGATATTTTTCTAAAGATCTATCTAATATTTAAATATATATTGTAAAAATTGCAAACTTCTGGTTTGATACATGTCAGATAAGATTGTTACAACATGTATAACATGGTTATTTTGCATTGTTTCTTTTACTGTCCATTACATCCTTGCTACGATTTAAGACCATATTGAGAATCTTTACAATACTTTGTAATAATAACTCGAAGCCAACGTGTTTGAAAGATAAAAAAAACCGAAAAATTCAAGTGGTGTTGGATTGGTGCTGTCCGTTATCACACAGCCAAATGTTCCTTCTTGTGTTTTCCTTTATTTAGAACTTGGTAGTAAAAAGAAACAGAAACGGAATACAATGGCGAATTTCTTATGTTGAGCCAAAGCTAATCAAGCCAGTTACTAAAACAGGCCATCATTACACAATGACTTGTTTCTGACAGTATTCTGCTAAACATGTAAAAGGTGGCTAGAACTAGCGGGTATGTTTATACGAGAAAAATTTATTATTTTAACCGATTGATCTGACTTCAGGTAAACATGTATATGATATTTTTTAGTGTTGGAATGTTGATATACGATCTAAAAGGTAAACCGATATGATTTTATTATACTGCTATATCGAAAAGAGAGAGACGTAAAGAATATTAATACTAATACATAAATTTTTTTTCATTGATTTTTTAATCGAATAATAACATGGCAATTATTGATAACGAATAGAACAAAAGAGACACTTGAATTTTTAAATGTCACAAAATAATAATAATAATAATACTAGACAGTCTTATCGAAGAAAATTTTTATCCTGGTTATAATTTACTTCTGAAACGATACAAAAAGTGATATAAATGTTTTTGAGAAGTCAACATTTTTAGGCATTTTTATTAGAACCTAAATGTGGATAGATATATTTAGCCCATGAATACAGACTTGGGAATAGAAAAATGTTTCAAGGTAAAATGCTTATGTGTAACATACAAATGAGAGAAAAGATTTATTATAATAAAGATTACAAATAGAATTATCCGAGTTTAATATAATATTTTGATTATTTCAATTTTTATCAATTACTTGAAAAACTTCTAATTCATTAAATTTACTACCACTTACAATATTGATGTTCTTATAAGTAAGTGAACGACTATTAACACTACCGTCTGCATAAAAAATTATATCATTACCACCACCAAAAACAGGAAGGTGAGTTGGATAGCAACCAATTGCATTACAATCATTTGCATAACTAAACTGTGCAGTATTAGTATCATTTCTATGATTGATATTAAATATAAAACTTTTTGCTGCACTTTTAAAGATACGATTTCCATTCCAATAAAGCGGATTATAGCCTCCAATTACTTGTTCTGAATTTTGCAGTTTGGCAACAACAAGAGTTTTGTTAATCTTATCACACTTTTGATGAAATGTAATTGCACTTAAACCGTCTCTACTACTACAATATAAAAGTTTGAATTCGTATTTGACATCATTAATTGAATTATATGGTGGACTTTTTTTATCAATCCAGCTTGCAAAAAGCAGAGTGTTCCTCTCATTGATAATTAATGAATTATTCTTTGAAATTCTTGGTGGTAATAGGTTTATATCTGGTTGATCATCAGGAAATAAATAATAATCTAAAATATTTTTTTTAAAATCCTTAGGAAAAAGTTTTTGATATGGTTTAATTTTATAACGAAAATCCTTATTGGAGATACCCTTAAATCTAATCAATAAAATGAATTCATTTAATGTATTTCCTAAATCAACAAAATTTTGCTTTGTCCAATTCTCAACACTATTATTATTGTTGATTTCTGGATGTCTTGCTAATCCCCATTTAAGAATTCCTTGCCAAATGTCTATTTCATCAATACATAAATCATCTCTTTTAAGAATTAATAATAAAATTGATTTTTCCAATGATACAAATTCACTTGACTCAAATATTTTTTCTTTATCAGCACAAATTTTTTCTACACAAATATTTTTTAATTCATTAAACTTTTCTTCATTAGTGCTGATTAATCGTAGAACTTTAATTGTATTATCATTTATATAGTCTTTATGATTTTCAATAAAATATTTCATTGTATCATTGACAAGTGTTTGAAGACCAAATTCATCTGCTGCAATTAATAAATCCAATACATCACCACCAGTATAATTGTTTAATTCAATTTTACATGTATATATAAATCTTTTAAAAAATGAGCAATTAAATGATCTTATATATTAACAAAGATAATTTATAATTTATTAAATATTAACTCACTTTAGAATAGCTTTAAAAACAAGTTCATTAATATTAGATTTATTAATAACATAATAGCCGCCATCTTCTTTACTTGTATTAGACAGAACATTCTTAAAAAATGGGCATTGAGCACATAGGATTAACGAGTGCGCATGAAATTCTATAACAATTTTTTCTTCTTGATGAATAAAAATTTTGACATCATAGTTATTAACATCTGGATCCAATAATTTTTCAAAGTTTTTTAAATATTCTGTTAATGACGACGACGTATTCATTTTTTTTTTTTTTTTGAGAATGAGAAGATTAAATTAGCCAATCAAAAGGAATTTCGCGCCATATTTAGTTAGATATTCATGTTCACACAGCCACATCAGGGATAATAATAATAAAAATTACGCGTAATATGCACACACAATATACGTTTATTTCTTCCAAATGAGAATAATTAATTAATATACATACTAACAACTGCCTTTCGATACTTGCTGAAGATAATGTAGAACCAAGTGATTCTGATAGTGATGGTTCATATGTCAAGAAAAAAAAGTAGTAATAATTTAATAAATAAATTGCAATTGTATATAAAGCTCATAATAAAAAAGGGAGGTATATAATAATAATATAAATAAACAAATAATATAATATAAATAATAGTAATAAAAAAATAAAAAAAATATGATTAATTTTGTTTAAAACAAAATTTATTCAACTCGGCAAGATTTCGTTCAACATTAATTTGAAAAGTTTCTAGCCGTTCTACACGAGCAATAAGTTTGCTTAAAAGATTATAAGTAGTTTCATCACTAAACCTATTACCATTATTATTATAATTACAATTACAATCAAAACTATTATTATTTTGTGATAAATTGTTGTTTGCAAAAATTCTTAGATGACCTCTATTTTTTTCCATTTGATCAATACGATTTCCAAGTCGTGTCAAATGCCAAGCAACATCATTATTTTCGTAAACCGAAGAAGAATCAGGTGTTGGGGTAACAGGTTTTATATTGATGCCACCGGCAACGGCAGTTGTGGTGTTAACGTTTGCAATATTGGTGCTGGTAATGTTGTTAGCGGCGACAATATTATGATAATCTGAAAAGCTTTGGATGCCTTGCTGATGTTGTTGTTGATGTGGTGGCGGCGGCGGCGGAAGCTGTTGTGCAATAATAATATTATGGTTTAAGTTATTATTAATATTATTATTTGAAAATTGGCTTTGTTGATGATTATAGCAATAATTTGTAGAATTATCTAATGAATTTTCATTAGAATGTTGATGGGTTGGTGGAAAATTATTATAATTATTATTAATTTGTTCATAAGTTAAGCCGGAATATTCACTCATATTTATAAATAATATTATTATGATATTCGATTTTATGTTTTAAAAAATTAATTTGTTCATAAGTTAGAAGAATATTCATTTATATTTATATGTAATGCTGTTTTCTCACTTGATTTTAAAATTCTGATGTTTATGTTTGGCAATGGATATTTTGCATATTTCGAATGGCGTACATTTCATATTGAAGTACACACCCCCTACAAAAAGTCTCACTTGATGATCCGCCAAAATAATCAAATAGACGGGTAATACAAATACTCGTTTTTTTACGATGTTGTGTATTAGTGAGAAAATGTTTATTGAAATGATTACCATAACAATCTAAAATATCACATCGGGTCGATTGTTATTGATAATTTTATGATGTTTAAAAGTCAAATTAAAATTTTTTGAAAATTTTTCGAAAAAGTAGCACTTAGAGCTATTTTAAGATACAATGTTTTAACACATCTTGGGAACTTAGAAAAT